GCAGCCCTTATTAACAAGTAGCACAAAAATGTACGAAGCCAGTAGTCTTCAAGACAGGCCAGATCTTGAGGTCCCGTTGTAGCGGCAAACGACTTTTAACTCTTCAAATAGTAATTTTTAGGTTAATGTTTAAAATAACGCATGTAATTTAAAAAGCTGTCCCGGGAAGATTCTTTCCCTCTTGCCTGCGGTCCTGCTGCTAGCTGCCCATAACACAGGTGACCGACCACTTTTGGTGATGGACAGTAACAGCATGAATCGTGACAGTGACATTTCTTTCCCACTTACTCCATGCCACGCGCTTTTAGTGCTTTGTGGCTGACCACTTGTTTGTAAGTCTGAGGTAGCTGCCGTTATTGTGTCCTCCTTACAGGTAAGGGAAGCGAGGTACAGAGAGGTTAAGCCACCTGGGGTGTGATCACACAGCTCTGTGGTGGAGCAGGGATTCAAACCCAGAGGCAGTGCGTCCCCAGAACCCAGGGACTTATCCCCAGCACCATCCTCCAGGAGGCTCTCTGTGCAAATATGAGCCAATTGAAGAAAACGGTTTTATTTTCTTCTCAGTTTCCCCCTCAGGCAGCCTGCGCCCCGTGGGTCTGCACTTCAGTCTTGCTCCCTGGTGGGCTCTGCTCCCTGGAGCCCGTCCACATCAGCACAGCCTCGTTGTTCTTCGCAGGAGTGTGATGGTGGTCCAGCCCCGGACTGGACCTTCCTGCTGTTCGGCTGGCTCTTAGAGGAGTGAGTCCCTAGGTGAATAATCGAATTGAGGCTGTCATGAAGGTGCGAGATTGGGATTGAGAGGGGCAGAGGAATGCGGGAGGAAAACCTGGCCTTCCAAAAGGGCTTCCAGGTAGGACCGGATCTCACCTCAGAAGGACTCCACAAGGGAACCCCCAGCCAAGGGCCACCCCGAAAAGCTTCCCTCTCTGTAGTCTTGTCCTCCTGACTGGGGACCCTTGAACCTGAGTGGATACCTAGTTAATGCCTCTGGAATGCTCTGCTGGCCCGAGGGTCACTGATTGGGGACAGGCGGGGCCTTGCTCTATTGTATTTTGTCTTCGTTCCTTTACAAAATATCACTGAGTACCTACTGTGTGCAGCACTGTTATAGAAGCCGGGAAACATCCGTGAACCAGGCAGGCTCCGCCAGACCCGGTGATGTGGGCCGCCCAGGGTCCTGCCGGAGCCAGCAGCAAGATACCCTGTGAACTAGGGGGTGGTGCTCAGAGACAGCTCAGCAGGGCGTGCGTGACCCATAGGGCTTTTCTGGGTCCCCCTGTGCCCTGTGAGCCTCCACGAGCTGTCCACAGGGCCGAGCCTGTGCAGGGGAGCACAGCCCCAGGGACACCGTCACAGGGACCTTGGTCTTTGCCAGCCTGTCCTCTGACCTCCTCAGGTCACATGGCGACGCGTGGCTACCAGCAATTCTCAGTTAGTCCTTTGAGAGAAACTGATTTTTTTTCCCTCAATTCCAGTTTCAAATTCCCAGGCAAGAGGACTGATTGGCCCAGCCTAGAGATCAGGAATCCTTGGGATACTCAGAAACGGCCATGGGGTCAGGGGACCTCTGTGGGAAATCACTTTCTGCCAATAGGGTGGCTCTGGCCACAGTCTCTCTGATCATCCCCCAGAGAGAAGGTGCCCCCACACACACCTGGGAGCCATCAGGAGGGGGACTAATCTCGGAGGCTCATTCCTGCAGAATGCGTGCGTCTGTCTGCAGGGGACTTTGGTTGCCCTCTGTTTGGCCTGGGTCCTCCTTGTCAGTGGGTCTCTCCGGGTTCTGCTGTGGCCATCACCCTCTGCCTTGGTCCCCCGAAGCTGGCTCTGCTTAGGCACACAGATCCGATCCGACGGAACGGATCATCCCACCGTAACGCACCTCTGTGGTCTGGGGAGACCTGAGTTTAACGAGGAGCTGTTTGGGTTACAAAGAAACGTTGGCATTGACTCAAACCCAGAAAGAGGAAGCAGATATCAAGTTCACTTTGAAAACTCAGAGTTCAGTTTGAGGGCAGGAGAGATAAGGGAACTTTTGAGGTTATTTATCAGGGCTAAAAATTACACTGTATGTTTCATTTTAAGGTCCGCATCATGACTATGTGTATGTATCTTTATTCCCCCAAATTAATTAATCTCACAAAATTAATTTGTAACGAAGAAATTAATTGATTTTTGGTTTCCATTGTGATAGAAGCAGAGACCTTTCGTTTTTCGTGTAACCTGTACCCACCTGTTTTTTTTTTTTTCTTGTAAAAGACGTTTGCTGGTTTTATTTTGCTCTTACCTGAGGATGAGCTAACGGCACCTTTTAAAAAGTCACAGCTTGTTTATTACTTGGTAGTTGCCTTGTAGATCTGAATCTCAGACTATAGAAGTGGAAATTCATCTCTTCAAAGTCCCAGGGCGTGACACGTGACTTCCGCTGGCCACACTCGCTGATCCCTTTAGGGTTTCCCAATGGCCTTCAGGGCCCAGGAATCTTGCTGTTCGGTTTTCTCTCCTTTTATCCCTTCCTGGTCTTTTCTTGAAAGGTTGAGGAGAATGCTGGATGAAGCCCACCCTGAAGCTGCCTTTGGTTGAAAGGTTCAGTCAGTCAGGGGCCGGGTATAAGAAAAGCCACAGCTTAGACACCAACTTCCCCGAGTAACCTGGGAGAAGAGTCAGTCCTGTCCTGGATTTCCCTATCAAAGACAGGGTTTGATCAAAGAAAACCACTCTAGTAAAGCCCGCTCTGGGAGGCATGCCAGCCCTGAACGTCAACTTTCCTGTCTGTGCAAATGCAGAACAGGCAACAGGTCACTCAAGCGCCTGCCCGTAGGTGGCCGGTGCCAGTCTGTGCCCACTCACCCTGAGCCAGTGACTTTCCCACCCAGGCCTCCCCCGCTCATCCTTAAAGCAGGGGTTATGGTGACATCCACCTCTGTCCTTGGGGTGCTCTCAGAATTCAGTGAGAAAATGCAGCTGGGAGCTCTCACCCGCGGCAGGCACCGACCGGCTGATGGTTATTATTACCTGTAAGGTGGGCCTCACCCTCCACCCCACCTACCTCCAGGTCCTCTGTGAGGACCAAAGCTTGTGCGTGTGATCCACTGTGCATGCACATGTTCCCACGCACACCAGCGCTGTCAGTCGTCGTCAGCAGAGTGGAGATGAGGAAGTCCTGCTCCGGCCCATGAGCTTGTCCTTGGACAGAGCCACAGAGCCCTTGGCTGACGCTCCTGTCTGCAGGGGGAAAATCTTCGCAGGGAGCACTGCTGCCACCACACCTCCGGTCGAACTTTGTGACGGTTCCAGAGGGCTGCATCTGCTGCCTGTGACCAGCTCCGTTGATAGGAGAGGACGTAGGTGCTCTGAAGAGCAGTGATTCCCTGGCCAGGTCACACAGGGGGAGTGGACACAGCTCTGCCATCCCCAGTCCAGCGCTCCTTGGTGCCGTGCTGCCTTCTGGGGACATGGTGTGAAGCAAAGCTGGCCTTGCTGAGCACGGGTCGGGGAGGAGCCCCGGGAAGGCAGGAGAAGGGATTCAGGATATTCTCTAAAAATGCAAAGGCGTCTCGGAAGAAGTGGGACCCCGGGAAGGTGGAGGACAAGGTCACGACCCAGTGGAGAGATGGCAGGAAGGAGTCGGTCGTTAGACACACACAGCCCGTCGGGAATCCCGGCCAAGGCAGGGGGGAGGGAGAAAGGCCCCTTCCCCTCGGCGTTGCTGAGAGCACATTGGTCAGGAGCCAGCTTCACCCCTGCTTCGCCTCCTCCACCTTGGTGTGAGAGCAGGAGGGTGAGTCGTCCTGACTGATGCTCCTGGGCGCGGGGTCTCACTTCTCAAAGAGCACGTCGGAGGCGTCACTGCCTGAACCATCCCCTGCCTCCTGTGGACCTCGGTTTCGTGCAGACAGTGAGGGATAAGATTCAGTTGATCAACCTCTTCACTTATGACGTATTTATTGAGCATCTACATGCCGCTCCTTGTTCCGTGTGTTGGGGATTCAGCGATTTTCAGAACACATGAAAGCCTGTCCCCTCCTGGTGCTCGTGTTGGCCTGGAGAGAGGCAGGGCTGCTTCCCACTCTCCCTGGACGTGGGTCCTCTGCCCTCCGGGAACGGCTTGGGCTCCCATCACGACACCTGCATGCCAGGCTTGGCAGACTGGACCACCAGTCCTCTGGAGAGAAGAAGGGCCCTCCTTTCTTTTTTAAATTGCCCTGTTCCTTTTTTTCTTTTTAAATATGTGTTATTAAATCATGACATTTCCACATGGAAAAGCACACACGTGAATTTTTCTCTTGACACACGCATGTAACCAGCACTTATACCAGGGAACAAAACATGACACACACACTTGAGAGACAGTCCCTGGGTCCCTTCTGGCCCCTAAGCCTCCGACTGCGGGAAAAACCATCTGCAGACGTCCAGTCCCAGGTGTTAGTTTTCTAAGCGCTGCGGGTGCCTTTTCTGTTTGGCTCTTCACCGACCGTTGTATCTATGAGGTTTGTTCTCGTGGCTCCACGTGGTCAAGGTCCGTTCCTTCTCATGCGTCTGTTTCAGGGCATGAATGGTCAGCAGCTGAGTCACTCTGCTGTGAATGGACGTATGGATTATTTCCTGTTGGGGGCGATTGCTGGGAACCTTTGGGTACACCTGTCTGCGCTCCAGGCAGTCCCTCTGACCTCGGGTGTGTGTGAGCTCAGTGTTAGTGGAATCTGCCAGTTTTGCACAGTGGAAGTACAAAGTAGGTTCCCCCAGCCATGTGTGATCATTCCAGACGCTGAACACTCAGTTTCTTTCACACGGTAGCCATTCTGGTGAGTGTGTCCTGATCACATTGTGATTTTAATTTGCATTGCTCTGACATCTAGCAGAATTTACCAGGAAACCTGTTTAAACATGACAGTTCAACAGGGCCATCTGTCCACCCCAGGTCTGTACCCTGCGACTTTCCTGGGCACAAAGGGCCATGACTCTTCCGCAGCCCTTAACTGGTTTTATATCTTTCCCAGTAAGAAGAATAAAAATGGTTCCACTCGATCTGTCAGGATCCCCCGGGACCGCGTGCCGACATATCAGTACAACATGAATTTTGAGAAGGTGGGCAAATGCATCATCATCAACAACAAGAACTTCGACAAAGTGACAGGTGGGTGCTGTGGCCTGGGTTCCCTCTCCCATTCCGTTCCATTTTCTCCAGTTTGTGTTAGACATTCAACAGAGAAATGCTGTGATGCTGTGCCCACATCCTGTCACAGTCAGCTCTCCTCTCTTCTTGGAGGGGCGGGGATACACAGAAACCAGGAACTTGAAGTCCAATGTCCCACCATGTACATTAGCTGATAAGGGACTTTGACCAAGGGCCACCGAGGCTAGGAATCAGGGGCCTGTCTGTCATTGAGTGGGCTGAGAGCTACAGGAAGAGGGCAGGCGGGGTCCCCTCTCCTGTGCATTTGCTCCTCATTTCATTTGCTGATTGAAATTGTGACCTCGGAAGGTGTTTTATGTACTCAGAGGATGTACTTTGGAGCTGCCACGGGCACCTGGGCACCTGGCTCCGTGGTACCCTGCACCCAGCACTGCCCATTGGTGGCTCCGCTCGCTTCCCACAGGTATGTGCGTCCGAAACGGAACCGACAAAGACGCTGAGGCCCTCTTCAAGTGCTTCCGGAGCCTGGGTTTTGACGTGACCGTCTATAATGACTGCTCTTGTGCCAAGATGCAGGATCTGCTGAAACGAGGTGAGCGCTCCCCCTCCTCTGCCTTCCTCCTGTGTGGAGAGGAGCCGTGTCCGGCTGGTCTCGGGAGCACAGAGGGTTTGCCGCCTGGGGATGATTCTTCCTCTGGCCACTCTGTGCCTGTGCTGCTAGAGGCAGGTCTCTTTCAGAAAACTGGAGTATCTCCGGAAAAGCAGCTTAATTAAGCTCTCACAAGAGAAACAGGTGTGAACATACAGAATGGGTGTAGCTTCATAGGACTGATTCCTAGAGAGGCAAGAAATCTATAGCCCCTAGTGCAGAATGGAGTTGAGATGGAAACTTTTCCCAGTGGCAGATGGAGAATAATAATCCCCATATACTTCAGAACCGCAGCACGTCCACGATTTCATTTCACTAAATCTTTATCACAAACCCTGCGATGTTGGCTCCCAGCAGTATCATGCTCATTTTATAAATGTGGGGATAGAGACATACTGAAGAGGAAATTATGGACGGAACCCAACCCCAGCCCGTCTTCCCATGTGTTTTCTATATCCCACACCTTCTCGTGGATGTCACTTAGATTACTCTGGAATTTAGGGCTTGTTTGAAGATCAAGTTGTACAGATTCATTTGACAGTGACCCAGAGGGAGTAGACAGTTCATTGCTGCTTTTCTTAGCTGTGTTCTAGAAAAGAAGACGACTCTACCCTCTTTTTTTTTTTTTTTAACTAGGCATCAGTTTTAATTAGGCTTTTTTCTAATGTCTTCAAACTTGAATCTTATAATTTGAACTCCTCTGACCTAGTAGGTCATGTAATAGAACACCCTAGGAATCAGGAGTTCCATTGTGGGTCTGGTACCAGTGCCAACAGCTGGGTGCCCCGGGCCAGGCAACTGCACCTTTCTCATCTCTTTGCTTTCCTGAAACGTGGACCATGCTCCCAGCTCCGTTGGTTTCCTGGGGTTGGAGGATTAACTTTGCCAAGTATAAGAGCCTCCATAGGCACGAGGGCAGGTGTTGGTTTCTATTCTTGGGAAAGGTGAATTCTGCCCCAGCCCAGAGCAGGTCATGTCGCGTCCTATCAAAACAGTAAAGGAGGGATTTTCCTTGACTGTGTGTGGTCTGGGTCCCCAGGGAGGATGAAACTCTCACTTTCCAACTCTGTCCTGATTCATTTTATCTTAAAATAAGCTAAGAATTCCAACATTCATCACACCTTCACCTTGTCCCTCTATTATCAAAACTAACACAGAAGTCACCGGGCAGATCCTCGCACAGGTGACGCAGTGATGGGAACAGCAGAGGCCACGCCGGCTCTCTGGAACCAATGAAGCAGAGGGCTTGGCAGCACCATTGGAGCGTGGCTCCCAGGCTCCTATGCTTGTGCCCCCTGTGGCCAGTGCTGTGGCACCCCTGCGAGATTCCATCCGTGTTTCATCTGTGAAGGAAGAAAGATGAGACCTTCTGCAAGGGGCCCAGTGAGAATAATAAGACGGTCTGGGTGAAGTACCTGGATAGATGTCGGCACAGAGGAGGTGCTCATGAAATGTTAAATGTCATTCTTCGACCCCTCACTGATCACAGAGAAAAATTTGTATCATGATAAAACCTGCCGTTTTAATCATCTTTAGGTGTGGAGTGCAGTGGCATTAAGCATGTCCACGTTGCTGGCAAACATCACCACCGTCCACCTCCAGAATTCTCTTCATCTTCCATAACTGAAGCATCAGATCTATTAAACACTAGCTCCCTGTGTCCCCTTCCCTCAGCCTCTGGCCACAGCCATTCGACTTTCTCTCTGTGCACTTGACGACTCTTGGTACCTCGTCAAAGTAGAATTACACAGCATTTGTCCTTTTATGACTGGCTTATTTCATTGACATAACGTTTTATTTTCTCCAGCCAAATGCCTGCATGAGGCCCACTTGACAAATATTAACTGATTAAACAGGTTCTGCCACCTCTACTTACAAACCAGGAAACCAAGGCATCCATAGTTAAGTAACCTGCCCGTTGTCCCAGACCTGGCCAATGGCAGAGCCATGCCTTTCTGCTCCCCAGTGTGCTGCCTTCTGGCAGCTACTTGGCTCCTGGGTCCTCGGGGGTCACTCTTCGTGAAGCCACTCCACCCAGGGTGTAGACCAAGTGAGAATTTCAGAATTCTCTAACTTCCTTCCACGGGTCTCCACTCAAGGGTCACCGCAGACAGTCCCGTGCTTTGAGCGGAGCCCTATCCCTGACCACCCTCCACCTCTCGCTGGTTCCCCTCCAGCCGTCCTGGGCGGCTGCCTGCTTCCCTCTGGGGGTGCCACATCAGAGGTCCACAGGGCTTCAGTCTTAATTTTCAGTGTTCACGTTGCTTGCCTGCAGCTTCTGAGGAGGACCATTCCAACTCAGCCTGCTTCGCCTGCATCTTATTAAGCCACGGAGAAGAAAATTTAATTTACGGTAAAGATGGCGTGACACCAATAAAGGAATTGACGGCCCATTTTAGGGGAGATCGATGCAAAACCCTTTTAGAAAAACCCAAACTCTTCTTCATTCAGGTAATCACTTTTCAAAGTCAATACGACTACAAATGGGAAAAGACTGTAGGGTGACTGGGGGGGGCACTGTCTTTGCAAATCTCCGTCTCTATGGGGCATGCAAATTTGGGTTTGGTTTTTCCGCTCTAAGTGGCTGGTTTATGTATTTGCCTTGGATCCCAAAAGGAGGAAGGTTTCTTTAAGACTTGCAACGCTTTGCCTCGCTGCCTAACTGGGACCATCATTCATTCATTCACTTACTCGTTCATCTGAGGGCCACTCGGATGGGCCTGATATCACTGTCCCTGGCATCTGGACACGGCAGTGAACGGCCCGTGCCTTTCTGTCCTCAACACCACGAAGTGATCTCTCCTTTCATTTTTAGGCTTGTCGAGGGACGGAGCTCGATGACGGGATCCAGGCTGACTCAGGGCCCATCAATGACACCGACGCTAATCCCAGACATAAGATCCCCGTGGAAGCCGACTTCCTCTTCGCTTATTCCACAGTCCCAGGTATCCAGTCCGCTGCCTCTGCTCACCTTACCAGCCGATTCCACCACCAGACCGAAGCCTCGAGGCCTTTCCCTGTTTCCCGTTGCTGCGTGAATTAACTGCAGTTTGAACATCCCTCATCCAAAATGATTTCAGTCTGAAGCTTTTTGAGCCACCCACGTGCTCAAAGGCTTGGATTTTGGAGCATTTCAGATTTTGCGTTTTTCTTGTCAGGATGCCCCATCAGTAAAGACCAAGTAAATGTTCCAAGACCGAAACACTGAAATCTGAAACGCTTCCAAGCATTTTGGATGACGGATCCTCAACCTGTCCTGTAAACACAGTGGCTTATGACAAATGCGTTGTTCGCTCTTCTGGCCATCAGAATCCCCAAATGAGTTGTCAGAATCACCTTCCTTCTGGAAGCTCAGCGGGGAAACCCCTTTCCTTGCCTTTTCCTGCCGTGTCGGAGCTGCCTGCGTTCCTCGGCTGTGGCCTTTCCTCCATTTAAAGCCAGAAACCTCACATCTCCCTGACCCTTCCTCTTTCTGGCCACAGCTGCAAAGGGCTCTAGTGATTAGACTAGCGCACCTGGACCACCCGGAGTCCCCTCTCATCTCAGTCCTATAACCTTAATCACATTGGCAAAGACCTTTTTGCCACATAAGATAATATGGTGACAGGTTCCAGGGTAAGGATGTGGACATCTTTGGGGACCGTTATTCTGCCCGTTCACTTTTCTGTCCAGAAAAGCTGAATTCTCTCACTTTTTCCTATTATTATTAGGAAGTCATTATAAAAACAAACATTTCTTCGGTGCTTTATAATTTACAGTGGGACTTTGTGTCTTTTACGTTGTGTCATCCTTATGATAAAAGTGTAGTTAGTTAGAAAAGGTGTTATGGTGTCCTGATTTTACAGATGGAAAAACTAAAATGACCTTGAGAGATGTGCCCAAGGTCAGACAGAGATTTCATACACAACTTCTGGGCCAGGATTCCTTCACACTCACAGGTACCAGAAAATGCCAGTTGTGAGCAAGCCTCCTCATTATTTACCAAGCACCGTGCTTTCCTGAGACTGTTCCGTGAAAGTCCTTCCTTTATTTTGGATGCAAACCATCACTGAGTTAGAATTCTCCCAGCTGCAATGACAGTTTTGTCAAGTGGTTGGTGCAGTGGTTTTGGTTATAGTAAATAGAGTGGTGTGTTTGAAAAAAACAGCTCTGGCAGGATCTACTGATGGGATCTTAAGTTTTAAGGATCATTTAAGATAGAAAGTAATTTGGCCTTCCTGATCTTGGGAAGGAGGCAGCGTAAGGGCAGTCATATGTTACTGTAAACAGACATGGTGGTAGAGTTGTAGGTGCTCTGAGCAAAGTCTCAGGGAACTCAGGGAAGAAAGATGAACTCTTCTAGGAAGGCAGGCAAGAGAGTTGTTCCTTAAAAGGAGCTTCTGTAACTGAGTCCTGAAAACTCAGAGAAGGGGAAGAGAAGGATGATTTGCCAAGCAGGTCAAATAGCCGAATGCATTTAGCTAGACTTAAGATTGTATCAAGATGTATCAGTTAACTCAGGCTGCTATAACAAAATGCCATGGACTGGATGGCTTAAACAACAGTTTTAGAGACTGGGAAGCCCAAGATCAAGGTGCTAAACGATTTGGTTGCTAGTGAGGTCTTGTAAATGGCTCTTCTTACTGTATCCTCACATGGCCGGGAGAGAGAGAGCAGGAGTGGGTGAGGTCTCTGGCGTCTCCGCCTATAAGGACCCTGATTCTGTTGGATCAGGGACTCACTCTTGTGATGCCATTTACTCCAAACTATCTCTATAAAGGTCCTGTCTCCGAATACAGTTATATTGGAGGCTGGAACTTCAACATATGAATTTGGGGGTGGAGGGCACATTTCACTCCATAGCACAGCATGTGACAGGGCATGGCAAGAGGCTCTGTTGTCATGGGCCCTGTGTGATACGCTAAGCAGCCTGAACTTAATTCTGATAAAGAGGAGCACGGAAGCTATTTGGGGTGCAAGTCACGAGATGACATTTGTACTTTTGAATGGTTACCTTGGAGCCCCTGTAGGCCAGAGGTCAGAGGTCACAAAACCAAGGAGATGGTAGTCTTTGCCCAGCCTCATCAGGATACCATATTGAATGAGGTAATGTATGTGCCCTACTAAAGCCCTAGTTCAGGCCACATGCAGGTAGTTACCAGTACCTTGCACTGCAAGAGAGAATTCTAAATCACTTTACACAGTAACTTACTATGTATTGACTGTTATTCTGGAACTGGTTGTTATAAAAATTACGACGACCTAGTTATCATTCACCTAGTGTGACCCAGTGGCAGTAAGAGGAAGAAGCACAGCTCATCATGGAAACCAAAGACAACCAACCTTATTGGTCTTGCACTCTCTTTTTAAAATGAAGGTGGGGGAGTGGGGGGCCTGGGGGGAGTGGACTCTTCCCTTGTCTCTGGATGAAAATCTCAGTAGGTCCGTAGATTTGCTGCTATGCTAAGACATGAGACAATACCGTAGAAACTTTTAAAAAGTCACAGACAGTTGCAAAACTATAACCAGAATGTCCAGTCGGAGATGATAACTAAAACTCCAAACTCAACTTGGCTTTAAAGTTCTCCCAATTCCTCAGCCCTGCTGTAGGGCTAAATGGCTAAAGGGGCCTTGATCTTTCAGCTTTTTCAATAGCTTTCCATTTGAAAGATCTATTTTTAGATTCTTCCAGAGTCAAATATAAGAGGGAGTCTGGGAAGGAAGGAGGCAAGGTTAGGGATAAGATGTGAGTCCCATGGTCGGTCATCTGACCGCTCACGCCCTGGCCAGGCAGACGATTGGAACACTCAGTGCTGCTCTGCATCCGGGGTTCCCTGGGCCCTGCTCCTCCTCCTCAGCCCTTGGATTTGCGTCTCTATTCCTGATTAGTCTTCCTGGTTTCTTCCTCAACCCCTAGGCATCCTCTAGGGCCCTGGTGTATCCTCTCTCATCCGGGGTCTTCTTGCTTCTTCAAGAAGACCTGTTGGTCAAGACCCAGGACAACCCTAGAGCTAACTTTCCCTCCCATAGGCGTGTGGGGTCTATGAGGAACACATCTTAGCCCTGACAGTGCCAAGCCCTCGGGGCAGCAGGCTTTCCTGCCTCAGCCCCTAGGGTATTCAGCATCCCTTGCCTTTGCAGGTCTTCAGCAGCATCCAGCTCTGGTTTTATGTCCCCCGTCACCCCCGCCAAAAGCAAGAACACTCTCACAGTTCTCTGAGATTCCTTGCAAAGCTCTCTTCTAGGCTTGAATTAGAAAGTTGCACTCACCCCAATTGTATGGTAAGGAGTTGCAGGGTTACAGCCTGGGCCTCCACCTTTCTTATGGAAATCTCCAGAAGCAGATGTGTCTCACTCTCACTTAGGTACCTCCTAGGTATTATGTGGATAACTCTATCAAAACAGATGCAGGAGAGTGTTCTGGCAACATCCACCAACACTAGCCCTGAGTAACATTGTCTGTTATTGGATTTCCATTACAGAACACCCAAAGCATTCTTTAGCATCTTCATGAAATTTTCTCCATCTGAGGTGTTTGTTCTCGGCAACATGATTCTCATTAGTGACTTGTGTGCAAATTGGAAGGGAATCATTTCCAAAAAAGCCAGGCATGAAGAAGATCCCAGAGACTGACAGCTCACGCTTATTGGTGAGTGCACTAGCTACCACAGTTAACTGATTGGATCTTCTCATTTCTCTCCTCTCAAAGGCTATTACTCATGGAGGAACCCCGGCAAAGGCTCCTGGTTTGTGCAGGCCCTCTGCTCCATCCTGGATGAGCACGGCAAAGACCTGGAGATCATGCAGATCCTCACCAGGGTGAACGACAGGGTGGCCAGGCACTTTGAGTCCCAGTCTGAGGACCCGCGCTTCAATGAGAAAAAGCAGATCCCCTGCGTGGTCTCCATGCTCACCAAAGAACTCTACTTCCCCAAGTAGCCATTTCTTCTAGCCGAGAAGCTAGGAATCCTTCATTGATGAGTCAGGTTATTACTGTCATTATTTTGAAGCTCTTGAAATATCCAGAAATGTTATGAGATTTTTAATTTCAGGAAAATTTATTGATTCAACAGGGAAGAAACTTTCTGGTGCTGTCTTATGTTCTCTGAATTTTCAGAGACTTTTTTTTTTTACAATGTTCTTCATTCAATGACTTTGTAATTTCCACTTAAGATTAATTTTGTTTGTATTTCTCTTACCTTGTTGTTGTACTTACATGCAACAAAAATGACCTCTTGGCTGTGTCCACTGTAATTGATGGTGACATTGGTAGAGAGTCAGGGTCATGTTTGCAGTTCACAAAAAAGAATTCCAGTTTTTGTCAGGAAAAAAAGCTGAGGGGATACTCACGGGCCTGGATTGCAGAAAGTGGGCATTGTGTGGTTTGAGTGGATTTTTATTGGCTTCACGCAGATTCTCATTCAGACATTCCCAGGTAAGTGAGAAGAGGAAAATAATTAATGGTTCTAGGATGTGTCAGTTAGGATCCAGTCCAGAAAATAGAAGCCATTCTAGGTGTTTCAACCGAGGGAATTTAATACAGGAAATGCATCTACATCAATGACAGAAGAGAAACCAACAGCAAAAAGCTGTTACTACACTTGGGATGGTGAGGATAATGGGGGATGTGTGGTTTCCGGAGTCCAGAAACCAGATCAGTCACAGGAACTGGCGCCATGATGGAACTGCCTACGGAGAGCTGGATCTACCAAAGGACTCTGGGAAATGGAGTCATGGCAAGGACAAAACCACCACCTGAGACGGAGACAAGGACAGAGCTGAGTTGGATACCCCAAAAATGCCCTGGCCTCCCCTCTCTGTCTTCCACCAGCACCTTACCATTCCACCTCAACTGGAAGCCAGCTGCTGGCTGACCTGGGAAGGGTGACTTCCCCCGACACAGAGCAGAGCAAGGGATCATAAGGGAGGAGAGACGGGAGGAGTGTCGGCCTGGTCCATAATGTGAACATAAGTGATCATAGTCCCTGGTGTTCAGCAGTTCACCCGTTCAATCATTTATTCATTGAGCTGTCGGATAATCTACATATGTACAAAATAATCTGTTTCGGCTTTATGTGCCAAATAATTTGTTTTAGTATGAAAATACACCTGGAACTTTTTAGATTATTCCAGACCTTATTCTGAGTAAATGTTTTTTTTTTTATCTCTAATTCTATAAGTGAGGAAGTTTATAGCAAATATTTTTAGCACTTTGTGTTCAAGGTGATATTCTCTTTTGAGCTCTTTATACATTACTTTATTCTCTCTACCTAATAACTGGTTAACAAATGTTCATATTTATTGATTAAAATGTGGTTTCTTAATTCTTAACTGGCTTGGTTTGCTTTCCTTTTGAAGTGATTAATGGCGGTGGGAAAATGTTAAAGACAAGATTAAGAATTGAGCCTCCTTCTGGGCACAGTATCACACCCTCGTGATCCCAGAAGCTCAGGAGGCTGAGGCAGGAGGATGGCGAGTTCAGAGCCAGCCTCAGTAACTTAGCAAGGTCCTGAACAACTGAGCCAGATCCTGTCTCAAAATAAAAATTTGAAAGAGGCTGGGGATGTTGCTCAGTGGCCGAGTGCACTTTTTTTCTTTTCTGATACAAAAGAAAAAAAGAAAAGAATTGAGTCTCCTGACTTGATGTCAACACAAAATATAACTTATAATTATTTTATTTTGAAGCTGGAACACTAATAAAGTAAGTATAGTCATCTTTGTAAAGCTGTTTGGGACCAGCTGCCGTCATTAATTTGGCCAGAAAAAGAAAATCAGATGGGGTAAAAGTATCTTCTTTCAAATAAGAAAACTAGTTTCAGGGACAGTTTATTGGACTTGTTCCTGGTCTTCTGCCATCTAAAATATACCAAATGTTCAGAATTTAAGTGGAGACCATAAATCAAGAACCAACAAGCCTCAATTCTACCATGCCCAGAATTCACAGGCTGTTCTTTGGAAAGTAGGCTGTCTTTTAAAGGCCCCTTATTAGAAATAGATGATCGATGTGCTTAAATACATTGCAAGTCAAAGTACAAACCAGAGCACTCTAATTTGCTTTGTTAGCTTCATTGGAAGGGAAAGAAATGATCCCAAGTGTTAGAATTATTTTTTTTAAGTTATCCAACAGTTATGGATAATAAAGAGTGAATATCCCAAGCTCAGCATCAAGATTTCTATGAAATTTGGATTAGGCATGATCAGCCAGTAAAGCCGATGCAAATACCAAAATCTGAAAATCTCTGAAATCTGAATGGCTTCTAGTCCCAAGTATTTTGGATAAGGGGGTACAATTTCTTATATCCATTAGACTAGAAGTATAAACCATGGTTAAGAAAGCATCTTCAAGCCAGATGTGGTAGCACATGCCAGTGTGGCACACCCCAGCAGCTCCGGAGGCTCAGGCAGGAGGATCACAAGTTCAAAGCCAGCCTCAGTAACTTAGTGAGGACCTAAACAAGTTAGAGAGATCCTCTTTTGAAATAAGAACTAAAAAAAGGACTGGGGATGTAGCTTAGTGGTTAAGCGCCCTTGGGTTCAATTCCTGGTACCAAAAAAAAGCATCTTCAGGGGACTGGAGGGTGTTGTGACTCAGTGGTAGAGTATTTGCCTGACTCTAACTCGTTGGAGGCCCTAGTTTTGATCCCCAGTACTGGCAAAAATAAATAAATAAATGGATACATCTTCATCTTTAGATCCTTGTGTACTTATGGCCATGTTCATCAAGATTGAAATCTTATTTCAACCATGTACACATATTATTTATATATATATGATGTTTTCCATATTTGATTGGTGTACTCTAATTATACACAGGTGTGATTTGTTGTTACATATTTATGCACATACATGATATAACAATGATTTTTTTTTTCTGGGCACTACTGGGGATGGAACCCAGGGCCTGACATGTGCTAGGCAAGAACTGTGCACTGAGCTACACCCTTAGCCCTTCAGCATCAGCAATCTTCATCTAGGTTGGGCCCCTGCTCAGCCACACCTTCCTGTGTCCAGTTTCTGAGCATTTCATAGCCAGCTCTGCCCTAGGCAGAACCCAGTCCAGAGGAGCGTGCCTCCCAGATCTCATTGTTATGAAGAGTCCAAGACCCCCCTGGCAGGAATATGGGACGGTGCCCTCCCTCATCACATGAAGAAGACGTGTGTCATCCTTGGGCACGGGGAGCTCCATCTGCGTTTCGATTTTTTTTTCTCCAGGTACCACTAACTTACTTAAAGTGTTAGCTATTGATACATTATCCCTAGTTTTTTTTCCTGAGCAGATTTCCATAAACCATCGTAAGCCCATTAAGATTATGAATGGCTCAAAATAGATCTCAAAATGAAAGTGCTGGGACCATTGTATACACGATTTAAAACCCTGAAGCAACTAAGTCCTCTGTGTGAGAAAGAAAATTCACTTCACTGGAGAGTCACAGATGCTGATTGACAAATCTTTTATTTTGTCCAGTCTTAACGGCGCATTAGCAGCTTCTCTGGTCACCAAGGGTTGCTTTTGACTTCCCTCCCTCTTTCCAACTTTCAGGCCCCTTTTCAGGAAACATCTGGCTAGGTAAGGCTCTGTGGCAATCACTAATTTATAGCAATTCTTTTGTGCTCTTCAATGTTACTGTGGTGCCTGGTGTCTGCAGGGAATTGGTTCTAGGAACCGCTCCCCCCCAGGATGCCAAGACCGGTGGGAGTTCACGACCTTCATATAAAATGGCAACATGCCAGGCGCAGTGGTACACACCTGTAATCCCAGTGGCTCGGGAGGCTGAGACAGGAGGATCATGAGTTCAAAGCCAGCCTCAGCAATGGTGAGGCACTAAGCAACTCAGTGAGACCCTGTCTCTAAATAAAATACAAAATAGGGCTGGGGGTACGGTTCAGTGGGCCAGTGCCCGTGAGTTCAATACCCAGTACCCCCCGCCAAAAAAAAAAAAAAAATGATATCATATTTACATATAATCTACGGATATCCTTTGGGATGAATCATCTCTAGATTACTTATAATATCCAATACAATAAAAATGTGGATGTAAATAGTTGTTTTATATTGTTTAGAAATCATGACAAGAAAAAAAGTCTACATGTTCAATACGTTCTTAGCAACATGAAGGTTAAATGAGAGGTGAACAGCTCAGCGCACCGCCAGCTCAGAGTGACAGGTGAATGATAGATCTCAAAGATGCTGATACTATGAAGATGGTAACGGTGATATGGTGATGTCACAACCTTGCAATTTTTTTTTAAATCGTTATTATTTTAGTTGTAGCTGGACACAATACCTTTATTTTATCTATTTAATTTTGTGTGGTGCTGAGAATAGAACCCAGGGCCTCACACATTCTAGGCAAGCACTCCATCACTGAGCCACATCTGCAGCCCCAAGATGGCAATTTTTTTTTCAAATATTTTCAATCCTTGGTTGGTTGAATGTGCAAATTCCAAATCCATGGGTAAGGACAGCTGACTATGATGGGCCAGGGACAAATAGCAGTTTCCCAGGGATTTCCAGAGATACTCCCTAGGTTGCCCCAGACCTACTGAACAAGAATCTGCACTTTAATCAGTTCTTCAGATGATCCATTTGCTCATTGGACTTTGAGAAACTCCGTTTTCGGAGTATGGACCACATCTTATGTATTCCATAAAATGGAGAGAGCAAAACTCTCTTGTGAAACTGCATGATAACTCTTGTTTCAGTTTGTTTTCTGTTACTACAACTGAATGAATCATGGACTGGGTAGTTAATTTAGAAAAAAAAAAAAAGAAGTGTAATTTAACTCACAGTATGGAGGCTTGGAAGTCCAAGAAAATGGTGCCAACATCTGATTATCATCTGATGTGGGCCTTCTTGCTGCATCATATCATGGTGGAAGGCACACGTGGTGAGTCTAAGCAAGTTTGCTAGCTCAGGTCTCTCATGCTAGCCACTAATGCCACCATGGGGCCCCACCCTCATGATTCATGTAACCCTAGTTGCTTCCCTGAGGCTGTACCTCCAAATACCATCAACGTGTGAACTGGGGATTAAGCTAACACCCCATGAACTCTGGGGATATGTCCAACCCATAACATACCCTTAAGGAACATGGCAAGCTTTTCACTTTCTCTATCTCCGTTTTAAAATAAGCCTTTGCTGAGTGATATAATAGGGTTGTTTATGTGTTCTCAAAGTGGCTGTGAATGTGAATTGCAGACTTTAAAATGTCTTCATAAAGAGTTGGGAGCCTGCACTCGGGAGTGTTCATTGGCAGCCAGAGCTGTTGTGCCCTGGAGCCTCAGGACTTGTCCCCTCCCACCTGCCCTTGCAGCCCACTGGGAGAATTATTACCTCTCCTTACCAGGATGCCCTCAGGCCATCGATCACTTCGGGTTTTATTTTGGATCAGACAGCTAGTAATTCTTTTGGATTCATAAATCATTAACACAAACACACCAAGGACATATTTGGAAAGCCACCGCAGCTACCACGGCAGGACTGACATGGACGTGGAAACTCCATTAGCTTGTAGGTTCATGCATGAAGAGCCCTCTAAAAGTACACGAACAACCTTGGAAAACCCAACAGCGTGGTTTTGGCATTCGTTTTGTTTATCTGTCACTATAAATATTTATGGCACTATTGTTTTCCTAACAAATTTGTTTTAATCATTGAAAGCCAAACTATGTCAAGGGATTTGAATCTGGAAGCGTCAGGCTGCAGATACGCAAGGCTGAACACTTTTTGAGCTTTGCTGGTCCAACCCAAGCAAATAGCACAGGATTCAGGAAGGATTTGGGAAACATGTCAAGGACCAAATGGATTTGGTCTGGACTATCTGAGACATAATCTCAATCAGTAAAGCCTCCAACTTTATAGCAGAGGTGATTTTAACCCTCCGTGTTTGAAAATGAGGCTCTGTGTTTGACCCAAGTTCTGATTCTGGCTGTGCCATTTGACCACTTAATACCCCATGTCACCTTAGGCAGCCCTTCCTTCAGTTTCTTAGTAACGTGAAGGTTAAATGAGAGGTGAAGAGCTCAGCGCACCACCAGCTCAGAGTGACAGGTGAATGATAGATCTCAAAGATGCTGATGCTATGAAGATGGTGACGGTGATATGGTGATGTCACAGCTCCTGGAGAGGCAAGAATGGGTGATGGTCCCCTAGGCCCTCCACTTGCCCTTTCCGCCTCCAGGACTCCTTGATCATGCTGTCTAGCATGTGCTTTCACACCGAGGTCTCCCAGAGATGCAGGGATGGAGCCAGATTGAATCACAGTGAATATTTACTGAGTCCTAGTATTTGCCAAATGGCATGTTAGAGATAGGACTGGAAAAGATACCCA